CTTCATATGACTACGGTGGAGAGTCATACGAGGTGGGATAGGTTTGAGTGTGAGGTGATTGGGCTACTAATGCGAGTGGTCCTCCGAAGTCTGAACATTCCTTGAGTATAGTGGACTCTTGAGCTTGCAATTCTCCATAAAGCTTATAGAGAGATAAGGAGTGAATCTTCCTGTCACCTTGTACAATCATTTTGGCTGTTGTCCAGTGTCTTCCTAAGCCATTAAGAAGCTGTAGATTTGTTTCATGATTGCTGCAGATGGTACCCGCATTGGACAGTTTTGTGACAATCAAGTTGAACCTTTTAAATGAGTCTTCCAAACTTTCACCGGAGTGGGCTTTGAAGTTATTGAACTCGTTGAGTGCTGTAGTGAGCTTCTTGTCTTGAGCCTGCTCTAAAACTTTGTACAAGTTTTTAAGAACATCCCAAATCTCCTTTGCTGATTTGCAATTTATGATGATGTCGAAGTTGTCAGGAGCAACTCCACAAGAGATTTCATAAAAGGCAATAGCATCACTTTCCATCTTGTCTAGATCATCTTTTGTGGGACGATTCAAAGCTGGTTGACCTCCTCCAAGCCTTGTTGTGGCTCCATCAGTTTGAACAGGAGTAAGGACTGGAACGTGGGGTCCTTCTTCTATAGATCTCCAGACATCTCTACCAAGTCGTCTGAGGTACCTTTCCATCCTTTGAGACCAGTGATGGTACTCATTTGCAACCAGTATTGGGGCTTGATTTAAACCACCAACACTGTTGGAAACATTCAGTGATAATGATTGTGCCATTTGAAAATTTGTTTAGAGATGAGCTTCAGTGGTATAGAGGGCTCTTTGAAAAATCAGAGTTCTGATTTTCAAAAAGCAACCACTATGGCTCTTATACCAATTGTTGAGAGAAAAACTTTGAGACACACTTGAACAAAAACGGTTAGAACAAGTATATAGCGGAATAGTTAATCTCGAAGGATCTGTTAGCTCAACAATAATATTAATAGTTAGAAGTTAGTGAGTTAGATGCGGAAAGTAAAGTAATGTAAATGACATCAATTGTTATATCAAGAATACACGTAAGTTGATTCATAGCTTGGAATGCATTCAAACCAATGTTAGTAAGTGAGATCAAACTTAGTGAAGAAGTCACAAGGACTTGCTCCGAAGAGAGATTATAATCTGATATGTTTGAGTAAGAAGTGGAGAGTGAAGAGTGATATAATGATAACTTTAGAATTTGTATTAAGATGAAATGCATAAGTTATCAGTGAACAGAAGTTAACATTACAGAAGAATATGTCTCTATTTATAGAGACATAGAACTACACTAGATTACAACTCTATAAGCAGCCATGCAAGGCACACAGGATAATAGAGTGTATTACATAAAAGACAAACAAAGTAATCTAGCTAATGACTGCGGTAGCTGACTCCGGGTGCTGATGTGGTTGCGGTAGCTAAGTTCAAGAGGGTCACTTCCATGATTCAACAATCTGAAGCCACAACAACTAGATGGATTGTTCTAGTATCTAACAATAACAGTATGTTGAAATATTCCACCCTGACATATATATAAAATATATTTTTTTCATTTAAAAAAACTCAATTAAAGACTATGAATTTTTATGCAGACATTATTTGCAACAGATTTGCATTCACAAAACTTCTTACAACTCCCAAAACCTGTTCGTGTAGATTTCCGTGCTTCGTAAGTTTTTTTTTATTATTCTATTTTATTATATATATATATATTATTTATATGATACAAAGTAAGTTTTATTTAATTATTCGAAAAATGGTCTGTGTTTTAGTCACAAGAATACAGTTGAAATGAAGTATATTTGCTCTGTTTGTCTATACACTAAACCCACTATGTTTTGTTTTGATAAAATTTTCTATTGTCACAACACCACTTTAACTGCCAATCAAAGTGGTTGACTTGAAAATATCGTTAAACTTGGGTTTGGATGATCTGTTTGATTACATTAATATGTATATTATATTTATATATTCACCAAATATTTTAATTGGTCTATTCTCCTATTAAATAATAATAATAATTTCTTTTCCTGTAACTACATGAATTCTTAAAATACATATTCTTCATTTTGTTGGCTTTCTTCATTTTTACACATTAGACAAATGGATCCACATCTAATGTACAAATACCGATTTCAGGATGGGTGCTGTTTGTTTTTCCAAAGCAAAAATTCAAAAAGTCTGTGGACCGTCTCTGCAAACCTCTGCAGCAGAAAAGGTGGACCAAACGGCTGCAGATTGTAATAAGAAGTGTGTTTGTTTTTGTTAACATCTATAGATTGCTGCAGACATTAAAAATTTAAAATAAACTAATTTAAAAAACAACATTAAAATGAATTAACTTATGTAAATCAAATGGGAGAAAACAGTTAAAGGGATATAAACTTAATGTATTAAATGTTAAAGAGATGAAAATAGAATATAGTATATAAGTAAAGGACCATAAACATAATATTAAATATACTTCATGGACACTTATTTAAAGAACAAGACATGTCGTTGTTAGAATTTTGGAAAAAAAGGGCTGATTGTTTTTTGGGATTTGATTTTTTTAGGTTTAGGTTTGAAGGGGTGGGAAGAGGTACAACAAGTGCTTCCCCAAGAAGCACACGTGCAGAGGTTTTAAGCCCCGAAGACTTCTGAAAAACAACCTGCTGCAGGACAAAAAGTGCTATGCGTGTACTACGCCGCGCAGCAATAAGAGTTTTGAAGAGGTTTTTTTAAGAAAAACAAACAACACCTAAGTAATTTGAACATCCTTAAAATCATGCTATTCAGATGTATTATTATGATATGATATGATGCAAGAAGTGATAAGTGAGAATGATAGATTGCTAAAGAACTTTCAAGCAGAAAGGGAAGGAGATGAAAAAAAAAAGTTAAAAGAAACTAAAAATGGTATATGCAGCCTGACAATGAGAAGAGTACGTATTCATTTTTTAATTTTTTACTTTTTTTTGGTGAAAAGTTATCAACATATACCATTGTATTTTTAGAAATATCAGGTATAGCATATAGATCATTGTAATATGATTCTTTGTAAAATTACCAGCATTAAACATTACATTTTCTTAAAGCAACATGAGAAAACTTAGAGCCAGTATATGTAAATCATTGTAAAGTTTGTTGCTATTTCCTATTTTTTTATAAAAGACTATGAAATACCCTCCAACCCCCGCAACTCCAACACCCGCAACGCGGGATTCTTTTCTAGTTATAACATTTAAAGTTAAAAAAGTTAATAGCGGGACAAAAATGCAAAAATGGTCTCTGTGGTTAGGTCGAAATTGCTATTTTGGGCCAAAAAGGTTTGGACTAGTATTCATGGTCCAAAAGTTTTCATTTTCTTGCCACTTTGGTCCAATTTACTTTAAACTTTATTGTAATGATGATTTTGCCCTTGTTTTTTGTTTTTTCAGGTTTTTTATTTATTAAAATACTTTTATAATTATTAAAAGGAAAAGGAAAAAAGAAAATCTCTCTCTCTCTCTCTCTCACACACACACACACACACAACACTTGAAAAATCAAACTCTCACACAACACACATACAATTAACATAAACACACACAAATCAATTTTTGAGTTTTTTCGAACTGACGATTAACATAAATACATACAAGTCGATGCCTGATGGAACCGACAGAGGAAGAATCTATGTATTTGGGTTTGATATCGGATGTAATGTATTTTGGGTTGTGCCGATTCCAATATGGTATTCTACCTTTCCCCAAGGAAGAAGAAGCAATAGAGTTCAGTTCTGTTTGTAGGTGACAAAAACCACAAAGCATAAACAAATTTGGATTTTCGGTGATGCTACAACCAACATCGTCGATGGTGATGTCTCAGGATGGATCTCCGAGGGAGAGGATGAAGACGCTCTTGCTCCGCCTATCAAGATCTGCAGCCTCTCAAGAGCTCAAGCACATACACATACACACACTCACATTCTGGTTGTTAACCCCGCCATTTCTCTTTCTTCGCCAGTAAAACAAAGATGCTAAGATGTTAGGGTCATCTCTAACTGTGAAATCGTTATCTGCCATGGAGATTTATCATCGATCTGACTTGGTAGCTGCATTGATGGTGGTTGTATAAGAGATGAGCTGGTGATGGTCGGATCTATGAAGAAACCCAAAATCAAAATTAGAGTTTTTGGAGTTATAAAGGGTTTTCTGAAGATTTCAAGTTAAGTTCATCTAGTTTCCAAAGATTTCAGGTTAATTTCTAGGGTTTGCTCGTCGGTGGTCATTTTTGGAACACAAGAGCCATATTCAAGAACGAAAATGACAATAATTTTGATTTGCTTCACTATTAACAGGATTTCAGATCTTACGTTTTGGGCTTCTTATTGTTCATACCAAGAACACAAGAACACAATTATCTTAAGTTTTGGGTTGATATTTATTCGAGTTCTGGAGAACCTCCTACCTGTAAATCATTATTCCTAAAAGGGACTTTGAGACCCACTCACCCACCTGTAATTTTTTCTCGTTAGAAATCAAATTCGAGACCAATCTGTAATTTTTTTCTTGCCGGAAAATCATATGTCGCCGGAGCTAGTTAAATTTTCCGACGACTGAAGTTTTCGACTGGTGATGGCGTCTGGTGTTGGTGGCGGCGGTAATGTGGACCGGTGGTGGTTATGATGGTGGAAAAGGACATTGGAGAGAGAGAGAGAGAGAGAGAGAGAGAGAGAGAGAGAGAGAGAGAGAGAGAGAGAGAGAGAGAGAGAGTTTCTTTTTTCTTTTTCTTTTAATAATTATAAAAGTATTTTAATAAATAAAAAAACAAAAAACAAAGACAAAATCATCATTACAATAAAGTTTAAAGTAAATTTGACTAAAGTGGCAAGACAATGAAAACCTTTGGACATAAATGTTAATCTAAATTTTTTTGGCCAAAAAAAGCAACTTCGACCTAACCACTGGACCAATTTTGCAATTTTGTCTAATAGCAAAGGAAGTATCCAGGGGCTGTCACATCTCACCCATTTCATACTTCCTCCGATCTTCCTTGCGGCTTATTATGTTGTGTGGTTCACACATACGCGTCTAATTCGTAGTCTCTTTGCAATTATTTCTTAGGAATTTCCCAAAGAAAGCTTCGATTTATATAAGACGACCTTTTCAGAGGATTTTAATGGCGTTATCTTCAACATCATCCAATCAGAAGAGTTTTAAGTATGATGTGTTTCTGAGCTTTAGAGGAGTGGACACACGTAGGACCTTTGTTGATCGTCTTTACGGTTCTCTTAAGCAGCTAAGTATTCCCACCTTCAGGGATAACGAGGAATTTGAGAAAGGAAAACAGATAGACGAGTTATTCAAAGCAATTGAAGAGTCAAAGCTCTTTATCATTGTCTTCTCCAAAAACTATGCTTCTTCGTCTTGGTGCTTGAAGGAACTTGAAAAGATTATGGAGTGCCAGAGAAAGATCGAACATATTGCTTACCCAATCTATTATGACGTGGATCTGTCGGAAATCCGTAAACAAATTGGGGAAGTTGGAGGAGCCTTCTCGAAGCATAGCAACGAAGAGGTTGGAAAATGGGAAGAGGCGGTGGAAGAAGCGGGGCATCTTGTTGGGTGGGATATGAGAAACAGGTACCTAATTTCTTAATCATACATCTGCATTACTATTCTTTGGTGTGTGTATTTCTAGTGATGTAGAGAGGTCATCTTCATGTTGTATTGTCAAATTATAACTCAAAATTGAGTCTTCTAGATAGATGAAACATGGAATAACTAGGCAGAGGATTGTATGTTATAGACCTAAAACGAATTTTTGATGTGGGATCTTGAGAAAGCTTTTTTACTCTACAGGGAAGAAGCTGAAGTCATCAATGAAATTGTTGAACAAATTTTACTCAAGTTACGCCCTATTTATTTGAGCAATGATGAAAATCTAATAGGCATGGAACCCCGGATGCTAGACCTGGAGTCATCTTTAGGGCTTGGTTGGAACAATGATGTTCGCATGATAGGGATCGTGGGGATGGGGGGCATTGGGAAGACAACTTTGGCCCGAGCTATTTTTGATAAAGTATCTTTTCATTTTGAAGGTAAAAGCTTTGTAGAGAACATCAGGGAAGTTTCAAGAGTGTCGGGTATGCGTTGGTTGCAAAAACAAGTCCTTTTAGATATATTTAAGGATGAAGACATGGATGTAAGCAGTGTTCATGACGGGAAACACATGATGAAAATGCGTCTTCCTGGTAAAAAGTTCTTGTTGTTCTAGACGATGTTGATAATGCTGACCAGCTTGAGGCGTTAGCCGGTGCAACTAATTGGTTTAAGGGCGGAAGTAGAATCATCATCACAACAAGAGACAAGCAAGTGCTGACAGCACACAGAGTGAATATGATTCATAATGTCAGTTTCTTGTCGGATGAGGAAGCAATTTGCCTCTTTAGTAGGCATGCATTTGGGCGATCTATTCCAATTCAAGGGTATGAAGGGCTGTCAAAGAAAGTTGTTAATTATGCTGCTGGTCTTCCTCTAACGATCAAAGTATTGGGTTCGTTTCTGCGTGGTAAAGAAGAGTTTCTATGGATGGATGCACTAACAAGACTAGAAACGATTCCGAGTCAAGAAACTCTAAAAAAATTGGAACTAAGCTATATCAGCCTAGAGGATGATCACAAGGAAATATTTCTAGATGTTGCATGTTTCATGAAGGGGTTGCAGAAAGAGGATGCAATTAGAATACTTGAAAGCTGTGGATTACATGCTATATATGGTTTAACAGTACTTGAGCAAAAATCTCTCATAAGTATCTCAAATCAGCGTTTGAGCATGCATGACAGGATAGAAGAATTGGGCAGGAATATCGTTCGGCGATCGCACCCCCGTGAGCCCAACAAACACAGCCGGCTCTGGATTCGCGAGGAAATTGAAGATATGCTGTCCCGTAATGCGGTAAGGATAAAATTTACTTGTATTTTGGAGAAAACTAACACATTTTCATTAGTTATGACACAAGTTTTATGGTGGCTGCTTTTGGACTATTATAGGGTACTGATGCGACAACGTGTATACGACTGGAGCAGGTGGAACTGAGTCCTGAAATCGTTATGAAAGGGCTTGGAAATCTGCAGAAACTTAGAGTTCTTTTGCTCTCTGAGATAGATGATGACTATTTTGGTACCCATCGGAAGTTTGATCAAGTTAAACAATACTTTCCAAATGCGTTACAGTTTCTGAGTTGGGAGGGTTACCCTGTTTTGTCTTTACCACAAGCATTTAAAGCAAATAACCTTGTTGGACTTGAACTGCCTAGCAGCAGAATCACAAAACTTTGGGAAAGCGGGGAAAGAAAGGTACAACGGTTGATATGTCTTTTGCATGATGATTCATTTAAATGATGTCCATTCATACTGCAATACTCATCTTATCTTATATTTGTTCTTTTTTGCATATGACAGGTTCTTAAGAAGCTCAGGTTCCTGGACCTTAGTTTCTCAAAGTTGAGGACCCTCAACCTTGATATGACTCCGAATCTTGAGAGGTTAAACCTTAATCGATGTTATGATTTGAGAGAACTTCAAGCGCCTGCTGGATCTCTAGAAAAGCTTGTATACTTGAACTTAATTGGTTGCTCAAGGTTCAGATCTTTTTCGTTTATCAAACAATTGGAACCGCTTGAGCTTCAGCTTCTTTCTTTACCTAAGCTAGACGTGATTGTGGAGTCCTTGGGAAAATTCCCAAGGTACTCCCGTGATAATCTGCCAAAGCTACAGTTTACCTGTTTTTATCTTGAAAAACATCCCCCATCGACCGAAAATGGTCAAAAGAGTGTCTCTCTAAATCTTCAGCCTTGCACAAAACTTGAGAGTGTTTCAGGAAGCATTTGTGGTTTAAAACACCTAAGAGAACTTACATTCCATGGCTGTATTCCAGAGGTGCCCAATGACCTCGACCAGTTACAATGTTTGGAGAAGCTAAGCTTGTTGTCTACTCATATTACACGGCTTCCAGATAGCATATGCATGTTGAAGCATCTGAGATCTTTCAAACTTGAATCTTGTCGGCTTCTTGAAGAGTTACCCAAGGATCTTGGCCAATTAGAATGTTTGGAGAAGCTAAGTTTGTTGTCCACAGGTATTAGACGTCTTCCAGATAGCATCTATATGTTGAGACGTTTGAGATCTCTCAAAGTTAGATCTTGTTTGCTTCTTGAGGAGGTACCCGACGATATTGGCCAAATAGCATGTTTAGAGAAGCTAAATTTGTTGTCTGCACGTATTAGATGTCTTCCGGATAGCATTTGCATGTTGAAGCATTTGAAATCTCTAGAACTTGAATCTTGTGTGCTTCTTGAGAAGTTACCTGAGGATCTTGGCAAGTTGGAATGTTTAGAGAAGCTGATCCTAACAAAGTGTATCTCTCTAGAGCATATTCCAAACAGCATCTGTAAGATGAAACGTTTGAGATATTTAGATCTCCCCTTTTGCAATCAGGTGGAGAAATTGCCAGAGGAACTTGGAAGTTTAGAGTGTTTAGAAGAGTTAAATATAAAGTGTACAGGAATAACTCGTCTTCCACACAGCATTTCTTCCTTGAAAGGCCTGCGTATTGTTGGATCCATATCACTTCTTGAATTCAATCCTGTGTTTTTCTGACCAAGATAGAGACGCATCAGAATCTGAAATCTTCTGCTACATACAAATCATGAATAACACAGGCACCCAGAGCAGCAGCCAATTCACAGAGAACTGTTGTAAGAAGTATTTCTTCTTCTTCTTCTATAAACTGTTTTATTTTGATCGAATTTTTGAACTTTGATCCGACAATACTTGAATCAGAAAATACAATGCTACTACACTTAAAACTCCAAACTGAAACCTTGCTGCCACCACCATTCTCTTGTCGATCTGAGCTCGATCCCACCCTCTTAGTTTCTGTTTCTATTTTTAGATCCACCGGAAAACACCAAAACGTCTTCCCTCCATCTCTCTTTCTCTGTTCGATTCTGTTTTTTAGATTCATCGGAAATACTGACTGTCTCTGAAAGTGGTTGACCAAATGCCTCGTGATATGTGAGATGGTGTTGTTTTAGGTGCACTGTTAGGTGTTTGGCAGGTTACATGGTGATGATGTACATGCAAGTAAAATAGGACAAAAAGTATTAGATTTTAAACCAAATCAATCAGGAGGGTATTTGTTGTTGACAATGTTTTGCAGCATGTGGAAAATGGGAAAAGTGTGGGGAGTTGAAGGGGAGGTCTTTGTTAAGGGGTGTAAATTGAAATTTTGTATTCTTTGTGGGGGAGAACCTGGAGAAAATAATTACGGCAAATTTTCTACATGATTTCAAGATTTTTGCATATAGAAATTAAAGATTAAAATATCTTAAAAGAGCATTATACTTACTACTTTGTAACATTATAAAGCTTTGAAGACCTGCGTATTTCTTTCTTTCTTGATATTGTTTTTTTTTCCTGTTTTGTCACTCCTTTCTTTTATTGTTTGAGGTTAAAAGGATGGGAAAATCACATTGTAGCACTAGGGGTGATCGCGGTTCAGTTTGAAATCGTGAAACCGGCCAAATTGGTCATCGGTTTGGTTTTACGGTTTATATTTTTCTTTAGAGTTTGGCTTGTGGTTTTGGAATTTTCAAACCGTAGTGAACGGTTTGGCTTACGGTTTTTAAGATTTCAAACCGTATAAAAACCGTACCGGACCGTAGAGTTTATATATATATATATATATATATATATATATATATATATTACTTTTTTATATATAATTGTATTTGTTGTATTAAATACTAATTTTTATATATATAGATATTAGATAATAAAATTATAACCCACAATATTTAACTGCTCCAGAGTCTAGCCCAATCTTAATTTGTAATTGGTAAACACGAATACACCGCGCCGTTCGCCGCCTCCGTCTACTGCAGCTCCTCCTTCGCTTGCAATAGCGCCGCCTCCACTTGCAACAACTCCTCTTCCAGCTTACAGCTTCGTCGCTCATTCTCTGTTAAGGTATGTTATGTTCTGATAAAAGCTAATACACTATCAATCGATTATTAATTCATTTAGATATCAAAGTTGTAGGCTCTATGTGTTTAGATTTTGATTCACACTCAATATTATGGTTCTCTGCGGTTTTACTCATTGAAATGGTTATCAAAGTAACATCACATATTCACAGTTTTAGAGAATTACTAATTTGTTTTTGTTGATTTGAATGGTTAACATAATTTTTTGTTGCACTTTTTTTTGAGATATTTTTCAACGGTTCATAATGCAATTCTTTTTTATTGTATTTGAATCAAGTCACTCAACTGTTGATCTTTGGTTCTGTTTGATCTGATTTTTTGTTTGCTGCGTTTTCACTTGTTTTGGTCCAGGTCCTTAAATGAATAAAGATAATATCAACATTCCAATTAGTGAACCTGTGAACATCATTGATGATGATGATGATGATGTGAAAGATATTGATGTAAATGATGTCGTTGATGTGGAGCAAAATGGAGGTGCTCCTGATCATAACCAAAGAAAGGGACGAAAGTAGTCTATTGTTTGACAACATTTCAAAAAACCGGATCCAGTTCCACCTGAAGGAACACGCACCACATGTATTCATTGTAAGAAAAGCTATGTGTATGAACCAAGTCAGCATGGTAATAGTGCTATGTTAAATCATTTGAGAAAGTTATACAAGTTTGATCCACTTAAATGTCAAGTAGATAAAAACAAACTATAATTTTTTTTTTGGAAAGGGTAAGGATGTAAACTTACAATTTGGTCGTTTTACAAAGGAATTGGATAAAAAAGCTCTTTCTAAAATTATTATTATTGATGAACTACCATTTCGATTTATTTAAAAAGAAGGTTTTCGTTATATTTGTAGTGTAGTTCGACCCGAGCTAGAGTTACGAATCGGATTACAATTGCTAGAGATATCTTATCTATATGTGGATGAAAAGAATAATTTGAAAGAGCTTTTATGAAAATCTTCACAATCTGTTTGTCTTACAACTGATGATGCATGAACTTCAAGTCAAAACATCAATTATATGGTTTTAACAGTCCATTACATTGATGTAGAATGAAAATTGCATAAAAGGATTTTCAAGTCAAAACATCAATTATATGGTTTTAACAGTCCATTACATTGATGTAGAATGGAAATTGCATAAAAGGATTTTGAAATTTTGAAGTTATTTCTAATCATAAGGGTGACACAATTGGTAAAATGGTTGAGAGTTGTCTAATTACATGAGGTATTGAGAATGTTTTTACAATCAATGTAATGGATAATGCGAGCTCTAATGATACAACTATTTCTTTTCTGGAAAAGAAAATACAAAATTGGGGACATGTGGTTTTAGATGCTCAATACTTGCATATGTGTTGTGCTCATGTGTTAAACTTGATTGTGTGTGATGGTTTAAAAGATTATGATCATGCAGTTAAGTTATTAGAAATGTTGTGAGGTATGTTAAATCATCGTCTTCAAGAATGGCTAAGTTCAAGGAATGTGTGAAGATAGAAAAGTTAAATGTTATTGGAACTGTTTGTTTAGATGTTTCCATTAGGTGGAATTTGACTTACTTGATGTTGGAGTCGGCTTTGAAGTATATAAATGCATTTAATCGGTTTTAATTTTTAAACAGTCCGGCTTCAGTTTTCACTTGAAAAAAAGCCGTAACTAACGGATTGGCTTCGGTTTGAGCTAAAAACTGAAAAAATCGAACCGTGAACACCCCTAAGCACAACCAACTATTGCATTTGATTCGATTTGGTCATTATTTTTTTTTTCTTTCATATTATTTTGCGTAATATGTTATTAAATTTACAACTTACATGTCTACGAAGTCACTTTTGTTAGTTTTTAATAGGTTTTGGTAACTAGTTATTCTATATTACACGAATGGTCCCTATCATTTTAATTTCTTTTATGGTTGGTCCATCACTGGTATTGTTTATCACCTGCACCACCACCGTGTATCTGTAACATCCCGAAAAACAGAACATAAATTTTTTTTGTTTTTAGATTAATAAATCGTTAGTACAGATTGTTTCCATAAAACCAAAGTAACCAATATTTAGCAAAAACATCATTAAACCAGAGTAATTCACAAAAAGCGGAATCATGTGGTGTGTGCTCTGCAATCATCCCGAGCTCTTCCATTTGAAAACCGGAGTACCTGAAACATAAACTGAAAACTGTAAGCACAAAGCTTAGTGAGTTTTCCAAAATACCATACCACATACAACCACAGATTATCATGCACATACATATAGTTGCCATGGGTTCCCCCATGGTCTTTATCAATTATGTCATGGGCTCCCCCCATGGTTTTTTGCCTAGAATGCAATAGGCTTCCCCCCATGGTTTGATATCCAACTGCCACAGGTTGCCCCCCGGGGTCTTCCATTCAAGTATCACAGAGACAATTAGCATACCACATAACATGAAATGGGACGGCATTGGTGCCTTTGACCCATAGATATAGTGAGAAGACTCACATCGCACTGCTGAATCATATAGAAAAAAAATCCATAACCACAACTCCCTACATGGGGTAAAAAGACCATTTTACTCCTAACCTAGCCTTGTCCAAAACTAAGACCCAGACTCACAATCTGAAAGGCCCAAAGGCAAATAAATCAACCAATGGCCTAATTTTCCAAATTAGGCCCAAACCCCTTACATGGGGCTTACCTTAAAGCCCAACCATTCTTTCTAGTCCAATACACTTTGCATTCTGATGACCCATTAATCGATAATTATCCAAAGCCCAATTATGGCCCACTTATGGCCTAATTTTCCAAATTAGGCACAAACCTCTCCAAAATGGGCCTTACCCTAAAGCCCAATAATTTCCTTAGTCTAAAAGCCTGCTTTTAGATGACCCACGAAGGCCCACAACAACTAGGTCCAAGAAATGGCCCAAACCGAGGCCCACAATTGCGAAGTCTATTCTGACTGAGTACGTCGGGCATACCCAATTGTACGTTGCACGTACATTCTTGATGGCTTTTACGTTGCGCGTACATGGTTGTACGCCCAACGTACTCCTCTATTGATCCTATTTTTTCCATTAAGCACTTAATGCGTAGTCCAAAGGTTCAAACCACAGATCTGAGTCCTAAACAATGTCTAGATCCATAAAGTCACTAACTTGGTGACTTTGAATGCCCCAAATGAACCCAAACTCAAAATATAACATTCTACTATCATGAAAATGGTCCCAACTCATGCATAGATGGATTTAAACTCTAAAGGTGCCAACTTTATGGACCTTGAACCTTAGAAACACTAAGAGGGGCAACTTATAGCTCATGGAATGGAATCAAGACCATTAGATCTCATTCTTGGGACCAAAATGAACCAAAACTCATAAATGGTAGATCTAAGACATCAATGATCAATTTCAAAGCTTTTTACCTCCAACAAGCTGGATATGAGACACATAAGTAAGATCCATAAGCTCTTCCTTGATTCCCATCCTTGCACCAAGCTCCATCTTCATAGAAATGGACCAAATACACCAAAAGTGGACACCATAAGCTCAAGATGCCACCAAGAAGGATTAAGGATGAATTCTAGGGTTTTAGAGAGTGGGGGATGACTTCGGAAATGAAGAAAGAGGCAAACATAA